TTGCCGACACCTAGAGTCGTGAAACACAGATAAAATGATAAACTATTATGCTAGGTGTACAAAGTCAGCAAAGAGCTAACCAACTCTTGGGAAATTGAGCAAGTCCCCTCCAAGAGGAATCACCAGAGATAAAGGAGCCAATCGGGAAGAGTCACCCTTAAAGATGACTTCCTATGAAACAGAATTTTGGCCAAGGTTGATGGGAATGAAAGAGGCTAGGTTTCCTTAGTAAGTCAACAAGAACGGAAATGAGTGAAGTTTGTTTCATGTGTGGTCTACATATAGTGCGGCTCCTTTAATAGGGCAAACTAAAAATAATATGTATGAATGGCTAATCTCTTTAGTCCAACACCTCCACTTGTTGCTTTCTCTCAAGTGCAAAGGTCACATCAATAAAGTGGATTATAGTGTAGTCCATCTGGCAAATTTGTAACAAACTTTCTCCCCATTTAATCAACATTAGATGTCCCCAACTCTCTACTATATAATGTGTGTCGGTAGAATAAAAGACATAATTCTATTTTCTCTCTCCAAAAATACACCTTATAAGCCTCTTAAAATAATATTGTCATATATGTGTACCTCACATGTACAATCTTATGATTGCTTCAAACACTATACCAGTTTTGTTTATCTTCATACCAAATAAATCCGATACCATCCACTTGAGTAAAAAATATCTCATATTTATAATGTATATATCAACTTCGAAGATTTAGAAGGAAAATATTTTGATCACAAAAACATCACAGATGTGGGGCTCACATGTATAATCCCATGATTGTTTCAAATACCATATCATTTTTGTCAATCACCATACTAGATAAATTGGATATTATCCACTTAAGTATAAATTTCATGTTTAGGATGCCTTTATAAATTTCAATAATTTTGTGGGAAAATATTTTGATCACAAAAACATTACATCATACTCTAACAATAGTGATCAATGATTGGACACCTTTCAATTCACCAATAGCATCTCTCATCTCCCTAGTTCGCCACACACACTTGAATAAAATAAATGCTCCGAACAATGTCATCAACATAGTTTGAAAGTTGATTTCTCTCATATCTTATGCATCCATTCCAACTTTCTACTGAACTCATGCTTTCAATGTGATAGTCAACCTCATAAATTGTTTCCCCCTTCCCTACAATTTATGTCTCTTCTCCATAAGAATAGCTCTTTGGCTCACCTCCTAATTATGTCAAACCTTGTGCATTCAACTGCCTTTACTATTGATGTCTTTGCCATAGCAACACAAATAAACTTGAATCTCAAGCCAAATCCTATGTCTTTCTCATCTACTCTCTCACTCGAAGTGTCTATCTCAAGTAGGGGAAACAAATTCTTAATCGTTGGCTTACCTCAATAGCACCCCATCCAAAATTTAAGTCTCCCATCAAGTACAATTGGTTAAGTTTGTCCTTTCCTTTGTATATACTTTCCCATCTAACAACCAACAATCTCTTCGTGGAGTCCTCTCACCATGATCTTTCCTTCAAGAATCCCTTCATACACATCATCCACAATGAAACCCTTCGTAGCACCACCTGACAACCTTCACCCCAAGCAAATCACACAAAAATCCCCCACACCTACAACCACAATAAACATGAGACCCTCTTTCACAACAACAAAAACACCAAATCCTTATCCTTATCCTCAACAACACCACAAAATGATCATTCAAGGCAGGGTTGTCAAAACGGGTCAACAGGTCGGGTTCGAGTCCAACTCGAATTGACCCGAGTCCAAATGGGTTGACCCTAACCTAACCCAGTTTTGCAAACGGGTCATGTTTTCCAACCCAGACCCAACCCGCGATAGCAAATCAAATGGGCGCGGGCAAAGGGTTGACTGGACACGGGCGATGAATCGAATGGACTTGCGACGGGCTGACCAGAAGAGGATGACGGATCGAATGGACTCAGCTGACGACGGATTGAATGGACGTGAAAAAGGCGAAGCCAGTGTGCAACTGCAAATAGAATGCTAGCGACAGGCCGCAGGTGACAGCGATCAAAGTAGCGAACGATGGTGAAGCTAGTGCGGATAGAACTCATCGAAGCCAGTGCGGTGCGTTGGTCAGGCTAGTGGACACGGTAGAGCCGGGATCTAGCACGGTAGAGGATTTCCAGTTTTCGGGTCATTCGGGTTTATTTTAGGTTCCCGGGTCAACCCGAATCCGACCCGACTTTAGAAACGGGTCAGAATCTCGAACCCAAACCCGACTCGTCAAACATGTTGACCCAAACCCAGAATTTTTCTGGTCGTGTCCGGGTCAAGTCAAGTATTGACACCCCTAATCCAAGCCAAAAATAATCATCACAAATCAATTCAAAAACTCACCCTCACAACTAAATAAAATCAATCACATAACCTTGAACTCACCACAATGACCCAATCACACAAAGATTATAACAGCCATTAGACCATACTGGATGAATATGATACTCTCAGTCAAAATGAAACATGAGAACTTATTTCCCCAACTTCTACTTAATATTTGATCTAGTGCACAAAGATTCTTCATATCAAACATAACCCTGATTGCTTTATTAATATGTATAGAACTCGATTGATGACTAAAGGTTTTCATCAGTGATCAAGAGTTAACTATGATAACACATTCCTTCTAGTTGTCAAGTATGACAATGTATGGCTAATTTTCAGCATAGCTATCAATCGATGGTGATCTCTGCATTAATTTTATGTCAATATTATCTGTCTTTAAAGAAATCTTTCTAAGGATGCCTTCATGGACCAACCCACATTACTCATTGACATAGACTTAACTGACATAGCCTCAAGCAAGCAAATCATGCTTCATATCACAAGCTAAGATTTTTTCTAGTTTCTTCAACTTCACTAACTCTTTGGCTGACTCATTTTTCTTTATTCCCAAAACTAGTGATACACATCTCCTAGTGGACAACATCTTTATCATAGATAAATTTGGCACTATTGCACAATGCTTTGTCAATTCTCTTGCCTAACAATTCTATATCAAGGATCTTGGGCCAATAAACTATTCTCTTTACTTGAAAGTTGTTCTACATCCTTATGAACTTTTCTTGTTATAGCATTCAATGCATACATAATTTCTTTTCCAACAAGAAGATGGCAAATGCCGCTCTTATGGCTATATTGTTTGTTAGCTCACCAACACTTACTGCTTAATCTGGTTATGAGCTCACTAATCCAACAATTTATAGAGTTCTTATGGATAGTCTATAGTATTTAGCATTTGCATGCCCATACATAGTATTCACGATTAATAATTTCTCTCATCTTATGCACCACCCCACTTCCGGACACTAGATTGCAGCAAAATGACTAATATTCTTTCTTTATAGCAATATGGATCGTAGCATTCTTCTTCATCATAACTAATCACTTCAAGCTCATGCATTCTTTGATGCCAACTAGGCTGACAACAAAAATAAGTTCAGCTTTACAAGTGCCCACAATGTATATCTTAGCTAAGATAAAGTACCAAGAAATGCAGTATCGTAGTCCATTCTTCCACAAAAGGTTGATTTCTACTCTATTACCACCACAACTATTGAGTTGGATAGGTGTGCTCATTATACATTGAACTTGGCATCCACCTTCCTTAGACCCCAAAAATTTATTATGACAAAATGGGTGCCACACCTATTTTGTAAGTCTTGTCTTTCACTCACAAATAAATTATGTGGATATAAATACTATTGTATTGGGGAAATATCCTAAAATAATGTCCTTCATGTGAAGCCCATTTATCATGTGAGAATCAACTAACGAATTCTCTAACGGTCCAACCACATTGTTTAAAATTGCGCAATATAAGGCTCACCTCAGCGTAATTTCAATGAAAAATGCCTCGAGGCTTACGCTTCAAACTTTTTTTATGAGACTTACGTCTCATCTTGGTTGAGGCCCGCCTTGAGAAGCGTCTCGCCTCACTAGCATGAGGCGTATGCTTTGCTCTATTTATGTATGTTTTTTATTTAAAATTTAGCTAAGTTCTATACAAAAGCCTCAAAAACACCACGTCTTCTTGCACTATTAAGTCACAACAACTTCCTCTCAATTACCTCGACCTTCAGCCCACTGTCTTTGCCGTAGCCACCACCGTCGTAGCCGCCGATGGGGATCACTTGAAATCTGCATGTCACCACCATCTCCTCTAAAAATTTTGGAGTATTACTCTTATCTTTATGTTGATGATAAACATTTATAAAAAAAAAGAAGATGACTGAAATAAATGAAGAATAAATAGATTGAGAGGCATTGGACCCTACAGGATGAGTCAGTGAAGAGACCAATTTGTTATGATGACTCAAATAAAAATCCCCTTAATAATGACAATACAAATGATTTCTGAGTTGTTGTCAATTATTTAAACTTTTTATTAATTAAATGTAGATGAGTAGGAAACAGAGAAAGAAAAAATTTAGAGTTAAACATGATGTTATATGATACATTTATGCAATTCATATATTTTATGTTATTTTTCTCCTATAATATTTGGATTTCAATTCTATTTCATATAATTTATTACAAACCGCTTTACATCTTTTGCAATTTTTTGTTTCATATGTGTGTAAATTTGGTACTTCATAATTCAATAAAAAGCTAATATGTCATCATTTAACATATTATTTGGGTATTATATAAAAAATCACTTTTTTTTTACTTTATACAATTTTAGATTTTGAGGCTTACGCCTCGCCTCACAAACGAAAAAATGCCTCAATACCCAATTGTACAATTTCAAACAACTTTTGTGCACTCAATTATGTATATTGAGTTTCAATATTAAACTCTCCAATTGTAGGTCCATTTAAGGGAGTATGTAGAGGAATAAATGCATAATTATTATAAATTAGTTTATTTTCTATTTTAGCCTCCTATTTATTTATTCATTTTATCACTAAAAGTTTTTGCTACATTTGCAAATGAAGAACCCATCTTTTTTAAGCTTGTGCAATTCTATATTTTCTGAATATACTAATAAAATAATTAAGCCATTATTCAAAATTTCCATCATTAACAATCAATAAGTAAACCTACTAATAAACTAGGACATCTTCTGAAGGCCTTAAAAATAATATCTTATTCAATCAACACGGGAAGTAAAAGGGAGCAACAAACATTCCTACCTACCTCTCTGCACCAGCAACTCCTTGAACTCATTATCAGTACTCTTCAACATTGAAGACAATGGCAGCCTCAGCCCCAACTCTACCATCTCCCGATGCCTCAGCTTTATCCTCTTCTCCAAACTAAAAGCAAAGTACTGAGGAAACTCCTTGAGCTCCTCCAACCCTCCCCCCATCTCATTTACAAAATAGTCATACTTTGGCTTAAAATTATTCTCAATACTAAAAGTAAACAAACTAGGGCACCTCAGTACCATCCCTACAGCCTCCTCCCTCGAAAGACCAAGCCCCATTAGATGCTGCAATTTGGGCATAAGAGTATTCTCCACGCTGGAAACAAGCAGCACCGGGTCATGGAAAGCAAGCGCAGTGACATCCTTAAACCCTAGCCTCTGCAGATAAATAAGCGCCGGCCGGAGCTGGTCTCGGACATCGGAGATCAGAAACCTGGGGCATTTTTTTATGACACGGCGAAGATCGGGATCAGGGACCTTAAGGTCTCGGGAAAGAAATTTGAAGACTGGGACTAGATCTTTGCCGATGCTTGATGTAAGAACTCTAGGGCACATGCCAATAATCCGGCCGAGGTCCTTGTGGTGAATGCCTTTGGAGAGGAGGAAAGAGATAACGGAGTGGATGGAATCAGGGGAGGCGGCGCGGAGATTAGGATGTAGGGCCAGAGCGCGGCTTGAATCGATGCCCATGATTTCCAGGCTAAGGATCTTCTCCCTCGCATCCGATGAGAGGTTGGGAAGATGAAGGAGGAGATCAGGGGAGTGTTGAGGGAGAGTTTTGGAGGGGTTGAGAGATGAGGGTTTGATGGCAATATTGGGTGGGGATTGGGTATTGAGGTTGATGCCGCCATTTTTGGGGGCTGGAGAGGTGGGAGTGGCGAAGCAGAGACAGTGTAGAGAGGGCATGGTGCGGATTATGAGGAAGTTTGGGAATATTAATAGATTATGAGCCCATTTTCTTAATTTGCTCTGGTTGATGGTTTTAAAATTGCTGATGTTTTTGCCATCTAAATATTTATGTTAGCAGATTTTGTCCCCTTCATGGTTGTTGCCTTCAGAGCGAGAGATTATTAGGTGCGGAGTACGGATGAGGAGAATCGTTCACACAAGTATTGAGTATCTAGTTGTACTCATACTCGATACCGTTAGGTACTCAATATTTGTGCGAACGATGTGCATTCCGCACCTAATAATTTTTCCTTCAGAGCAGCCTATATTTATTTTTTGAATGTGAATTCTCGCACAATCTCCTAAAAAAATTTTACTTATTTTCTCTTCCTTTCTCGTGCCTCATAAGATTATTCAGGCGCTGAAGCTTAATTTTGGAATAAATTAAATATAACTTAATTTTTTTAATTGTTTTATATGAGTTTAAAACATATCATTAAAGAAGAAAAATATAATAATATGCCTCTGTATAAGATTTAAAATATAATACATTGTGATTTTTTTATTGTAATGATTTTTCAATTTTGCATAGAGGTTTATAATTTATAATGAATTTTGTATAAAATTTGCGAGCATAGAATTTTCATTGAATATTAAAAATATTCTCAAGCATAAATTAATGACATCATCTTATAAAAAATTTCGGGTCACGGGTCGGGTTCGGGTCGAACCCGAACTGACCCGGGTGGAAAACGGGTCGACCCTAACCCGACCCGGGTAGAGAAACGGGTCGAAAATCCGAACCCGGACCCGACCCGGCGGGTTGCCGGGTTGACCCGACCCGACCCGCGCGGCATGGAACTCGGCATCGGGCGACGGCGGCACCGCGGTAGCATGCAGCGGCACGCGGCAGCAGGCGACGGCGAGGTTCCGGGGAGATTTGCTCATAGATGACTACTATATGATCACTATAGTTTTTTTTTTTTCCCACTCTTTTATAGGCCGCAAATGTAAAGCTTGCTTGTCATCGTTCAATTAAGTAAGAAAAAAATAATTGAATATTTTTTTGAATACTCAATACTTAAATAACTATTCCAACTCTTTTATGTTTATGAACAACATAATTTAAAACTCTGACATGAACCTCAATTCTTATTCGATACAATGCTCATAAATAAGCTCATCAAAAAATTAGTTAATGTTTGATTAAAAAATAGTGAACTTAATATAAATATTTTATATTTATTATAATTTATGATATAATAATTATTAATTAATAAAATTTGAGTTTGACCTGAACTAGGATTATTTGATAGAGGATGTTAGGAAAGGGTAAGTTTGATCCAAACACAGATGATTTGATGGTTGGTGATGCTTTTGTCATTGAGACCAAAGGTTTTGTTGAGAGGGCAATAGTGTCACAAGCTAATCTGATATGATCCGAAATTGCATTAGTTATATCGTGTACGATTATGACAAGATTAACCCCAACATCTGGCTAGATAAGTACTGAAATAAAACTTTCAATTTATATATTACACAGAGCTGCTACATAATATAATATAAAGCAAAAATTACTTAATCTCAACATAATTTTTTATATATCATCCAAAACTTATACAATCTAAAATTTATCTCTATTACATCGCTTGACCATAGAGAGCATAATAAAAATAAAAGCTAAGCCTGCAAAAATCAAAACTAATCGAAATATACATACAACACAGATCAGAACCTGCTATCCAAATTACTCTTCCCCCGGCCTGAAAACAAAAGCAAAAGCAAGGATGAGCTAACACGGCTCAATGGGCTATCATAATCTAAAATAAAAATCAATAAATAAAACCAAAAGAATTGAGAATTTTGTGGTAAATCATATACTGAAATTAAATGTAATTAAATAAGTACTAAAATGAATTGAATTATAATCAAACACTTCATAACAAATTCCTACCTCCATATTCCATTGGCTCCGGTATAACAACACTTAAGTAACATAATCTCACCTCGGTCGCCCACTAATTCCGGCATAACAGAATACCATCTCTTTCGCCCACTGGCGCCGGCATCACATAACAACACTTCTTAACATATTTTTTAATGTATTTCATTAATTAAAGCATAATTGGGCTCAATTCAGAAATTGCCAAAAGATTGTAATGGTAGACAACAAAAATACGACTGAGCAAAAAAACATAATTTTCAAGTTAACCAAATTATCAGAGATTATGTAAAACATAATTCTGAAGCTTTAATTGAACTTAAGCATTATTTTTAGATGTCAAAATAAATTTATGCGTAGATAAAAATTAGTTCTTTTTCAAAATTACCCGACAAAAAAATTTCAAAATATACTCAAAATGTTCGTAATAACATATAAAAAATTACGCAGTAAAATTTTTACCAAAATAAAGTTACTCTCATTTTTCAGTAACAAAAATACAAATTTGATTGAAAAAATATTAAAAACACAATATTATTGAAATCTTAAATAAGTAAAATGTAACCTACCTTGAGATGAGCAAATTTCCCAAATGGTCCCATGAACAAAAATCACTTTAAGATCGCCAAAATCAAGCTTTTCTCTCTCCTTCTCTCTCTTTTTCTCTTGAATTCCCCAAACGTTTCTGTTGCACAAAATAGAAAGGGAAAGTGGGATTTAAGCCATTTAATAAATCCATTACGGATTTAGAATTTTTAAATATAATTATAATATATTATTATTATAATAAATTTTGAGTATAAATTTATATAAATTCTTTTAGGTATTTTAAAAATTATAGAAAAATATTCATAAAATAACTTTTTTTAAAAAAAAATTATGATGAAATTAGTTTGCAAAACGGACATCTGATGATCCTAAAATCCCTACTTGTTGTGTTAAATAAATTATGATGAAATTAGTTTGCAAAACGGACATCTGATGATCCTAAAATCCCTACTTGTTGTGTTAAATGCTAATCTCTTAAGGAATTTTATCAGAGCCCAAAAATTAGGAAAAAAAATGGTGAAACTAAAATACAATGATATTAGACATTAAGAACTTCAACTGGGGCGGGATTGTAGCAGTGCCAACAAGCTGAGAAGCATTAGTGATGCTCTCGGCTGGAGAGGAATTTCCTAATTCCATGGAAATAAAGAAAGGCAATCACGAAGAAGAGCCGTGAGGCTTACAGATGCACTGATGCCATGAAATCAAAGCTGCTAAGAGGAATGTGAGAAATCAAAGACAGAGAAAACAGGGAAATAGAAAACGAAGAAACCGTAGCAACTTAAACATTCTCTATGATCTTCCCTATATGAACAGTGCAAGTACACACACACACACACACACATATATATATATATATATGAACAGTGCAAGTACACACACACACACACACACATATATATATATATCAGATAGGAACGTTTTTCCGCCTAGACCAAACATGGACGAAGTATGGACTCTGTTGTAGTGGATCATATTTTGAAGGTATGTTGACTGTCAGAGCATGTTAACACAACCATCGCGACATTGAAGTCTTTGTTTTGGAGTAACTATGGGATCAACATGCAACACCTAAGGCCAGTGACGATACAGAGCTCCATCAAATCAGCATTTTATGATAATCTGTCAAATATATAAGAGAATCAAAGAACTAGATGTGCATTCAAATATAACAAAAGCTTTAAAAAACTAAGTCAACTCATTTCAAGTTTATTATAATGACCTTGCTATGTTCATGGTGCACTCACCCAAATTGGCAACTTCCCCAGCTAAGTTAGCGACTTCCCCAAGCCAAGTCGACGACTTTCCCTAGCCGAGACAATGACTTCCCCTACTAAAATCAATAGCTTCCTCCAACCTAATAGATGACTTATTATAATCAAGTTCATGAATTCAATCAAATTAGTAGCTTCCTCTAGACAAGTCAACAAGTTTCTCAAAACAAGCTAAAAGCTCCTCAAATAAAGATGAAATCATATAACACACTCAAGGCTTAATCAAATTATTGGCTTAGCATATCTTTCACTCAAGGCTCAATCAACGATCAAATTAAAAACTAAGCATATAACTCACTCAAGGCTTGATTGAAAATCATTTATAATTATCCAACATAACTTCTTATAATCTTTCATATTTAGGCAGCCTTTGTATAGCCAATTCATATTTAGGCATCCTAAATTTATAAATAGAGGATCATGATTAGAGCTAAAGACACTATTTTCTTTACTATATCTCATTTAATAAAATCTCAAAATTTCTAATTCTAAAATTCCTTTCACTCTCTTATTTTTTATTCTTTTCTTATTTTATTTGAAAGTATGTTATTAAAATATAATTTATTGATATATTTGAATCCAACACTATAACTCTTCAAAAATATACTGAAATTAATAGATATTACAAGAAATACGGAAAGAGCTTGAAAGCCTTGAAATTTACAGTAATTACATTGCCGAGAATCACGCAGCTCACATTGATATGTTGGTTGGGAGGAGGGTGTAAGTGAGCCGAGCTTATCGAGCTCACAAATCGAGCTCGAACTTAAGCTTGTCTAGTAAACGAGCTCGAGTTCGAGCTTAATGAGGCTCGACTCATGAGCTTAAGAGCCAGTTAGAATAATTATTAATATTTTTAAAATAATTTTATTTTATTTATTAAATTTAAATATTTAAAAAATAAAAATAAATGTTTAAAATATTTAATAATATAAAAATAAATTAAAATTTAATGATTAAAATTAATAATGATTGTTTAAAACATTTAATAAAAATTTAAATATTTAAAAAATCCCGCAAGGCTCATGAGCGGCTCGAGCTCGTTTATAGTGTGACGAGCTTGAGTTCGAGCTCGAGCTCGTTATTTGACAGTTGAGCTCGATTCGAACAACCCCTGACTCGAGCTCAACTCAACTTGTTTGCACCCCTAGTTGGGAGCTTTGGCAATCAACCAAAAAATCTTGAGTTGGAGTTTTTTTTTTTTTACATTCTTTGTAAAAATTTATCTTTTTTTTTTTTTTTTTGTGGGACATTTAGGCCAATTAAGGCAAACTCACACACACAACACATACACATAGACTTGAATCTTGGACCTCTTAGTTGGAAGCCTAAGCTCTCAACCAATTTATCTTAATTGGACTAAATATTTCAAGGTCCTACCAGCAGTTCGCCACGCGTCCCATTCTGCTCTAAAAATCAGGTGCTCAAGTTAAGGTAAGTGATCCGACGGTCTACATATCGACGGACTATCGCTGATGAGGTGAGCCCGTTACGAATCCGCAAATCCAGCCCTTTTCCTTTTTTACTGCTGCTCCATATATGGAGGGCTTTTCTTTCGAAAATTCGAAATCCCAACGGTCGTCGCTTCTCAACCGATCTTCATCTCTCTCTCTCGGAGCACTTTCTTGCGAAGTTGAATTTTCTCAGTAAAGATAAACGCAGCAGCCTACTTTTTGTCCTCCTGGCTCATTTCTTTCAAACATTCCTCCCTCCACGGTCTTCTTATCTGAATCAGTTGAAAACCTCTGGCGGCAAGCTTATTTTCTTTGAGCGGCGACGCCTTGCGCTGAGAAGAATCAATCGAATAAGAGAAGCAGGTGAGCGTGTCCAACATTTCTTTCTTTATATTTCTTCAAAAGATGTTGCCAATATTGTATATTTTTCATCTTAGTTTCCCTTCAGGTCTGTGAACTTCGATACTTTTGAAGATGGAGTGGTGATGATTGATTTTTCGTGTTGAAGCCTTATTGAATATGGAATGTTCTTCTCTGGGACGAGACAGAGAGAAGAATGCGAAAATGGCGGATTCAAATGGTAATTTTATTTGTTTACTCAAAGAATAGCATGCCTGTGAACCGTGCGTTTATCTTGCAGAAATATCATGGGATCTAACATTCTTTTCTTTGCAATTCCCCAAGTGGAACTGTGAAATTAATTCATTGCATAATCTGGTCTTTTCGCGTATGAAGCTCCAGGCTGCAGTAAGCGAGGGTTCTCGGTGACATTTTCAGACCTCACCATGCCCGCCAGCTGTTCGCCAGATGTTCCCTGTGAGAAGATCCAAGAAACTCCCGATTATATCAGGAAAAGGAAGAACATTGAAATCTCACCCGTCGAGCTCTTCGCTGAAGAGCGTGGCTTGAAGAACCGTGTGGGATTAGCTACAGAAAAGCAAGAAAAATCTCCAGAAGAAAATTTGCCTGAAGGAATAAGCAGTTCGGAAGTTTCTCTCAAGTGTCCACAGAGTCCGGAGGCCGAGAGGAGTATTTTGTCCTTAAATGCTGGAGGAGTAGATGGTTCTGTTGCTTACAACGGCAAAACTTTTGAACAGGATAATTTCTACACAGGTGGAGACATAATAAGAACAGATGATGTTCAAGCCTGGGATGACAGAGAGTATGCATTATACCATTCTGCTCGGTTTGGAGACTTCTCTTATGAATTCCCTAACTTGGAAGAGGGGGATTACCTTGTTGATCTTCATCTTGCAGAGATTGTGTTTACAAACGGGCCCTCAGGAATAAGAGTTTTTGATGTTTATATTCAGGAAGAGAAGGTGAGAAAGTTCTGGTAGAATCTTCTCTCTTTTGTCTATAACATTGTGCTCTTCATTTGAAAGTCAGAATTTTTGCAGGCTGTCTCTGGCATTGACATATATTCAAAGGTTGGTCCAAATCATCCTCTGATACTATCTAATTTAGAAGCTTCAGTTGTTGGACGGGAGGGTTTGTCAATAAAGTTCAAAGGGCTTGTTGGAAAACCTATAGTATGTGGTATTTCAATAAGAAGGGATGTTCCTGCTGGTTAGTTTTCTATTATCAATTTTCTTTCAGTAGGCTAATTTTTCTTAGTATCTATAACGTAACATATATCAGTACTAATTTAATTGAAATATGTTGAATTTGATTAGCAGGTGAGAATGTTCAGAAGCGTAGAGGTGACCTCACATTCTTAGATGAAAGAAATGAAGAAATTTTAAACCTGGTTGGTCTAGTTGTATTATTTTGATTTCATTGATATAATAGGAACTTGTTGGACCTCCATATGGTTAAATTACTTATTTTCTCAGCCTACTCATCAAATTCTGCAGGACAACGGTCATGACCATAGGAAATGGAAGCGAAAATATGATTTGCTCATTAAGGAACAAATAGAAATGAGAAAAACTCTGAAAGCTGCTAAATGCGAGAATGAACTCAAAAGCCAAGAATGCCATGAGGCATGGGCATCGCTACGGGAACTTCAGATGGAACTTATGCGGAAATCTCTGCATGTTGGCTCCTTAGGTATCAAACCTATACTACAATATGCCTCCTAAATGGAATGTTATTAATCAATACATTGTTTCTTCTCAGCTTTTGCCGTGGAAGGACAGGTCAAGGATAAAGGCAGATGGTGTCTATGTGTAGGAGATCTATGGGAGAAATTTAAGGTACTCGGTATAAATCTCCTCCTGTCGCTGCGTTTAATTCCATCATATTCTAATTCTGCATATTTGAGCTTGACAGTTGATGAAGCAAGAACATTCCAAGATAAAAGAAGAAGCGTTAGAATTTAAAAATTGTTTTGCAGATATGATTGGCAGGATGAGCTCTGTTTTACCTTTGAGTACGTGTACATATATTTGCTGCTTCATCTCTATGCTCCAGTTTTTTATAGTTAGGTTTAATTCCTTTATTCTTTTGCAATGATTAAAGTAACTTTATTACTTTTTGACAGTGGATAATCACAGTAATCTTGAAAGAAAATATAATGATCTAAAGTTGCGGTTCATTGAAGAGTCCAAGGAACGGAAGAACCTGTACAACAAAATGGTTGAACTGAAAGGTTGGTCAAATTTTAGAAAACATAAGAGTGCATAATCTTTGAACTTATTCAAAGACCCATTATGCTGCAGGAAACATAAGAGTTTTTTGTCGTTGTCGGCCTCTTAGTTTAGAAGAAATATCTAGAGGAGAAGATATGGCTATAGATTTTGAATCTGCAAAAGATGGTGAGCTTCTTGTGAAAACCAATGGAGCACCAAAGAAGGTTTTTAAGTTTGATGCAGTCTTTGTTCCTGAAGAAGATCAAGGTATTTGAATAAAAATCTTTCTTTTTTAGATTTTTATAGGCAGCATGTGCAACTATTAACCTAAAATTAGAGTTTTCTTTTGATCAGTAAAGGTTTTTGAAAAAACTTCACATCTTGCAACATCGGTGTTGGATGGGTACAATGTATGCATATTTGCTTACGGGCAGACTGGAACTGGCAAAACATTTACCATGGAAGGAACAGAAGGAGCTCGTGGAGTGAACTTTAGGACCCTTGAGGAGCTGTTTCGAGTTGTCAGGGAAAGACAAGGTTTAGTCCGGTACGATATAACCGTAAGTGTTCTAGAGGTGTATAATGAACAAATACATGATTTGCTCTTATCAGGATATCAACCTGGAGTTGCTGCAAAAAGGTACCTAGCACATCTAATTTTTAGTATATTATATACATGTTAGCGATTTAGGTTTGGTTTGGGATGGCTTTCTTGTTTCTTCTTAAAGTAGCTTTTTAGTACAAAAATTTTAATTTTTATAGTAGAAAGCTGCTTTAAGAAGCAGTAAGAAAGCCATCCTGAAAGAAGCCTTAATCTCTTAATGCATCCTTTCTAAATTGTATTACAAATCTGTAGGCTGGAAGTTCGAACAGCTTCAGAAGGAGTACATCATGTTCCTGGTCTGGTTGAAGCTCGTGTTAATAACACTATAGAAGCATGGGAGGTTTTACAGACAGGCAGTAAAGCGAGATCTGTTGGATCCACCAATGCAAATGAACATAGCAGCAGATCACACTGGTCAGTTTTCTATACAAGTTTCATTCACATAATGTTGGAGATTTCTTTTCTAAAATTCTACTCATTCTTTTCATTAGCATCCACTGTGTGCTGGTTAGAGGTGAGAATTTGATGAATGGCGAGTGCACGAGAAGTAAATTGTGGCTCATTGACCTTGCTGGAAGTGAGAGGATAACAAAAACTGATGCTCAAGGAGAGCGTCTGAAGGAAGCACAAAGCATTAATAAATCCCTCTCCGCATTGGGTGATGTGATATCTGCTCTTGCAACCAAAAGTCCCCATGTTCCCTTCAGGTTGGTAGCTGGGGCCTTTTAAATGTAACTTAACTACTTGATCAGTATATTCAATATATTCTGAGTTGTGATACCTATTTGAACATGTAGGAACTCGAAATTGACCCATTTACTACAAGACTCTCTTGGTACTTTTTTTTCTTTAACTCTTTTTTCTTCTCATATGTTACGTTTATCTCAACCTTAAGATTACTTGGAACGAGTAATGTAGGTGGCGATTCGAAGACTTTGATGTTTGTGCAGATTAGTCCAAGCGAAAATGATGTGGGTGAGAGTCTATGTTCCTTGAATTTTGCAAGTAGGGTTAGGGGAATTGAACTTGGCCTAGCCAAGAAGCAATTTGATGGAGGTGAACTTTTCAAAAATAAACAGATGGTATGATACTTCTTTCAGAAGGAAGATAACAATGTCCTATTTTGAGTGATTTGAATTATCACAATATAATATACAAAAACAATTAGTAAAAATGCATGGCAATGTTTTTCTTATTTTAATTCTTTTTTTTTTCTAATTTTAATTCATTTCCAACTTTGTGTCCCAGTTTGAGAAGGCCAAGCAGGAGATCAGGAACAAAGAATTGCAGATAAAGAGCATGGAAGAGATGATTTGTTCTGTAGAATCAAAGAATAAAGCAAAAGATCTCCTCAATAGGAATCTTCAGGAGAAAGTAAGCACGCATGACTTAGGCTTCGTTTGGGGCGGCTTTCTTTTTACTTCTTAAAACAGCATTCTAATACAAAAATTTTAATTTTTATATTAAAAAGTTGTTTTAAGAAGTAGGAAGAAAGCAGTCCCAAATGAGGCCTTAATCTTATTACAATATTTTTCTTCATTTTATCTAGCATGCAAAATGTACATTATTGGCATACTCTTCCGCAAGCTATTATGCTTCTTGTTAGTGATCTTTGTTTCTTTTCTAGTAATTGTCGCATTAAAATGACTGTTTTTATATCATGATTTGATTATGAAAAGGAACCGTGAGAGAATTAAGGCCTATATTAAAACAGCATCTACAACAAGAACAACAACAACATCAAGCCTTTATCCCACTACGTGGGGTCGGTTACATGAATCTTTTTTCTCCATTGTGTCCTATTAAAAGTCAAATTCTCGTGTAAATCTAATAAAGAAAGATCATTCCTAATATTTTCTAGCTAAGTCTTTTTAGGTCTACCCCTACCTTTCTTAACACAAGTCAAATCTAATACATCTACTTTCCTAACCGGATCATCAGAAGGCCGCCTTTTTATGTGACCAAACCATCTAAGGCGACTCTCTCTAATCTTATCTTCTACTGGAGCTACTCCAACCTTTACACGTATATGCTCATTTCGTATCCTATCTCTAAGGGCAAAGCCACTCATTCACCTGAGCATTCTCATCTCTGTCACACTTAACTTAGTATTATGCTTCTCTTTTAATGGCCAACATTCGGCACCATAAAGCATTGCAGGCCTCACTACCGTCTTATATTAAAACAGCATCTAAATAGGAAAGTTATGCTAGGTTTTTTATCCTTGATTCTGAAGATGGATGCTATAGAATCAATATGTAGCACACTCTTGTTATCAATAAAAGACAGCTTGTCCTCTGATCACTCGTTACTTCAACTGAATACATTTAAATTAGCTGAATTATCCTCTCTTTCATGCTAAATTGGTTTATGCATGAAAGAATGAGCACGATTGTTGTAATTTCTTACAACGTGGTCCTGAAACAAGTTAACAGGATAGACTATCAGATATAGGTTTCGTTTGGGACAGCTTTCTTACTATTTAAAGCAACTTTTTAGTAAAAAAATTAATTTTTTTCTACTAGAAAACTACTTTAAGAAACGGAGCTATAATCTATCTCAAATCTTCTCAGACTTGGTTTCCTAGTATTAGTTCTGTTTTTTATAGCTTACTTTGTTAATCTTTATGACGTTGATGATGTTGGGTTTCCCCTAAATATGTTGATATAGATTGCTTTTGCTTGAAATTCTTGATCGCCCATTCATGGTTCCTAAATTTCAGTAGGCAGAAATTTTTTTGACATTTTACTTCAAATTATGAGCAGATAAAGGAGTTGGAATCACAACTTTTGATTGAAAGGAAACTGGCAAGGCAGCATGTTGACTCCAAAATAGCGGAGAATCATCAGCAACAGCAAAAACTGTTTGAACTAAATACTCCTTTATGTTCTGACTCTCCTCAATCAGCAAGTAGGCCTCTTATGGAAAGGAATCAAAGTAGTCCTGCAGATCAAAGAGGCAACCTTAAACCAATCGCAGAGAACAGCAACTACCCCTCTTCAGTTTCTGTCACCCTCAAATTTCTCAATCCGATTAGAGATAAGGAGAACAAGCCTGAGCTAGCTGAAGAAATAATTCCAAGAAAAGCCAACAGGCTTTCTCTGGAGAATGCAATACGTCGTATTTCGATGACTCCAACTAACCGCCGCGATTCTCTCATTCCGCCTCCAGTGGCGAAAGCAGCAGCATTGGCATACTTACTACCACAATTTCCTTTACCTATAATGGATACAGCAAAGGATACTCTTTCTGAAGGAAGAAGCTGTAGTCAAGGAGGAAAAAGAAGTAATAAGAAAAATAGTATACAGAGAAGAAGCCTCCAAAAGAAGCTCATCATCAGGTCACCATTACCACAGTCAAGTAGCAGAGGACATGCTACTGGAGAGAAACTGAGAGTTTCTATTGGCAACAGAGGCTGGAGGACAAGGAGAGTACCAGGAAGTGATGCTAAAAAGACTGACAAAATACCACAGCTGAAGCGCCAACAGAAGGAAAAGGAAAGAGGTTGGAATCTTGGAACAAGTAGGAATGCATTTTGATTTTGTTTAACTCTTGGATCATACTTGAACTCAACTTTATTAGGCTTTCTTTTCCTTTAAAAAACAAATCCATGTTTCCTGCACTTAGGGAAACATCTTAATATCTGTTTTCACTTCTTGCTTTTGGACAACTAATCTTTGTAAAGCAACAAACATTAAGTGGCTATAATTTTGGTTAATTATTGAAATAACTCTCACCACCTTAGAAAATGTATCTACATAGTTTACTATACGTGTTTTATACGTAAATTGTGTCGCCATAATCGCACTTTCTTTATATGATCTCTTGATTCTAATAATCTTTGATTCATGTGGAAGATCAACTAAACCATAGACTTGATTTCTAGTTATAAAGCTCTTCTCATCATCCTTGACTTTTGTTCATTTTTTATAAGCTAAAAAGAAATGACTTCTTCATAAGAAGTCTTCAAAGATTGAAGGAGCACACCGAAGTGCTTTACATCCTTCTAATATTGTATTTGTCGGTCTACATGCGCCATTATCTTTTGATCGAAAGTGCACTCATTTATGTGAGAAATAATTAATCATAGGAGCTTGCACCAAAAAAAGAAACTTTGAACAAAAAATTAAGGTCAACGGGAAGAAGCCGCATTGAGAAGTGTTGTGGACTTCACATTTAGGTTTCAGCATAACAAGACTTGCACTGTCTTTTTGCACTTAGGCGCACTGCGCGCCGTTGGTAATGATTCTACTACGGTGCTGCAAATTCGCAAGCTGGGAGACCTAGCCCTGCTAACTTTCATTCTTATTCGCTTGCTCACAGCGCTAGTAACCTCTAACTCGACGCAGCGGATTCATTTCATTAAGTGAAATATCACCTGCGTAATGAGAATGTTATCATTAATTTGGCGCGCTGGTACAAAGCTGCTCTGTATAGGAGAAAGAATACTCCGAAGCACTGGCTTTAGACGATTGACCACAATCTTGGTGATCATTTTCCGGCCGATGTCTAACCTTTTTTTTTCTTTTTCAGTGCATCTAATTAATATTTACATTGGTTGAATCTTCGGCCATGGATGAAATTATCACCAGCTAATGCCTTTTGCATTTAGGGTTATGCTTCGTTAATGAAGGAGATTACTACATTGACAAATTTTCAGGAAGAAAGCATTCTAAATATGACAAAAAGAGGTGGAAATTGAAGGCAAGTTTAGTTGCGTTTTTTGTTTTACATCAATTATCAAAATAGGAAATCTCTACTATTTGAGTGGGGATTAATACTTTGTTTGGGACAACTTTCTTACTGCTTTCTAAAGCACTGTTTTCTAAAGTAGCTTTCTAGTACAAAAAAATTTAATTTAAAAAATTTTTATACTAAAAAACTACTTTTGAAAGCGGTAAGAATGTTGTCCCAAACGAAGCTTGAATTTGTTCGAAGCACAAGTGTTTTAAGAACACAAAAAAGCGGCACAAGTGTCCATTAATTAATTTGGCGTGCCCTTCAATCAATACAATGGGTCTCTATGCGACAACTTTCTTGTTATTTTACTTTTTTAATCAATAACAACAATTCCATTTGATTGTTATTTTCTCACTACCGTTTAAAATTTTAAGTTTCACATAGCTCACCTTAGCCTGTTAGTTGAGAGCTTATGCTACCAACTAAAAAGTCTTGGGTTCGAATCTTGTGTACGCGATGTATGCGTTAATCTATCTTAATTGTCTTAAATGTCAAAAAATAAAAAATTAAGCTGCAAAAACTACTTACATAATATTTTGATAATCAACTTTAAAACATACTACTAATTTTTTGCACAATAAAATTTAAATCACCTTTAAAATTTTAGTATTATAAAGTTACTTCAATATATATATATATATATTCTAGATCTACTGGCGTGTCAGACTACATAGTACTCTGCAATCTATGAGAAATTATTCTGTGCGGACACCGGAATGATTGGGAGACCAACTAGAATACGCCACGTCACAAGAAAGTGATGTGGCGTCTTCTAGTTGATCTCCGGACGCAGTCTGGGGTCCACATAGAATAATTTTTCCTAAACATAAGATCTGGACTGACACTGTTCACTAGTCACTACAGTTAGAGCCGACACTGCTCACTGTTCTACATGTAAAATTGATAATTTCAATAACAAATAAGCTTACACTAGCATAAACTTAATTTCCCGTCCAGTGCAGTCTTTTATGAATGCAACTAACAAAATTTTCCACACAATCCGAGATGTGCAGAGTAGTCCACCAAGAGTCTTCCCATTTGAAGGATAGTCCAGCAGGTGAATTTTCATGGTCCTGAAAGCAGCATAAAGGATAACTTAATTAGATTATAGAACTTAAATACTCAAAAATATTGCAGATAGCAGTTTTTATTTAGTACAAGCGGTGATATATTCTGCCATTCAGATAATGCAATCTAATCCATGACATGTCATGTACATATAAATGTTTTCCTAGGAACATTAGACTATTCAATATAAAGATTTGAATAGTTTTGTTGTAACTCCATAAGAACAAAGAGTGAAATAAGATTTCGATTTGGACAGATTTCTTACTATTTCTTAAAGCAGTTCTTTAGTACAAAAAATTTTAAATTTTTCAACTCAAAAGTTGTTTTAAGAAGCGGCAAGAAAATCATCCCAATTGTATTCCATTAGGTTAAAAAAATAAAAATTATAGATATATTCCATTATGAATTCGAAAGGTCCATAAGAATTATCATCATTTTGCACTCACTTGGAATATGATATGTGAATCATCATTCTCCAATTGTTCTTATTAAGTGCACATTGACAGCAAATATTTTTGTATAAATTCTATGCATGCTACCTATCCCTCCTCTTCCATCCTGATCATTATATAACTAATTTCGTCCATTCATCTCATGGACTCATTTTCTACCTATCATTATATATGACCAAACCACCTAATATATTCTCCAATTCCTTCACTTTAATAGCGCTCTCAATTTCCATCAAATATAATTATTTCACAATCTACTCTTCCTATTTTTGACACATATGCATCTTGCCATTCGCATTATAGTCATATTCAACATGATTATCAGTGATTTTCTAACTAATCAACACTTGGATCCATACAACATATCCCACCCAAGTATAGCTTTATAAGATTCACCTCTAAGATCTATAATACTCTCTAATCATATAATACTCCCAAGGAAATTCCCCATTTTAACTAACCAATCATAACTCTAGATTAGAAGTTATATCTTTACCTATTTCCCCACTCTTCCATAACATAGATCCAATACACTCAAGCCTATCATCCATTGGAATCACTTTATCTTCTTAAATATCAATTGATAATTGTTAATAATAGCCCAACTAATTGCATGTCATGTTCCTACTATTTATTCTACTAATACAATCCTTTATCTTGTAAACATTTCCCTATTATTCTAATCTTCCACTTCTTTTAACAAATATCTCACCATCACTAAATAGGTCTATGACATCTAGAAAAAACATACACCAAGCTATCTCATTTTGAATATCCTTCATAAATTTAATGTTTGTTTTTGATGTATCCTACTATAATTGAGATCTCATTGGTCATTCCACAATTACTTCAACCACTAGTACATACTCCATCACACATATCTTTAATAACTTGACCTTTTATACACCCTTTTTTTCTTAATATGCATCTAATTAATTCTCATGTTGCTCAATCATAAGGCCTCTTAAGATCCATACAAATCACATGAAGATCCAAGTTATGTTTTTATGTAGGAAATAAAAACAAATTCTTTAAATGCTAATGGAATGTTTAAACTTATGGCAGATCAACTATATCGAAGTTTATTTCCCTTTTAAGATGATAACAAATGGTATTTTAGTTAAAACCAACAAGATATGAGACTACAACCAGTCAAATGACTTAGCATTGACAATTGAAATTAACTTCAAAAATGCTTAAATCGGACTAGAACTAATGATGGATTTTGTGTTAACAGCAAACATGTACTTCCATGAAAAGATAACAAGAAACAAATTAGAAAGTGGAATTTAAAACATATATCCTGCTATACATCTGATTTGAATTAAACTGGAGCAAAAATAAGTCCAATTATAACTTTTAACGAGGTAAGCAAGCAATCGCAGGTCACATTGTCGATTCAAATTCCAAGAGCATGTAAGAAAATGTAGATAAAAAAACACGAGAACTCACATCATACGGATGATCCAGCAAGACAAGTCAACCTTGACTTTGTGTTAGACTCCGCCAAAGGATTTGTCTTCTCTTTTGAGGTCATTCTTAAATCCCAGAGTCGTATAACACCATCTGAAGATGCAGAAGCCAAGCAATTGGATGCTTCAAAAGTTTCATCGTAGCTTCTTCTCTTCAACATAACGAGGCCTTTGACACGTGTGGAATGAGCATCATCAATGGAATATGCGACTTTTCCACTTGTTGTATCCCAAGCAACAACATTTTTATCTTCTCCACCGGTAAATAAGAGTCCACTCTAGTACAATCAAGTAGCAATGAAATCATAAGAAAACTTCCTAAGAAAGTGAGCATTGAAGTGAATAAGATCATTTTTTGAGTTAATCTGCACTAAACTAGAGAAAAGAAATCACCAAAAAAAGTATATTTATAAAGTGACAGAACAAGCCTGCTGAGTACACAAATCTATCAACTCTCTTAAATAATTAAAGCGTAATTCTGCAATAAAGGAATAATGTATACTGCACACATCATTGATCAGCCTCTCCCTAGACTCCATAATAGCGAGATCCTCAGAATATATAGCACGACTTTTTATTCCACCATGCCTAAACATCTAAAAACTTGTAAATTTAACAGATATAAACAACTATCAATTCAAAGTTAAAGAAATTTACGAATTCACTACCTCGCCAGTTGCAATGCAGAGGACACGCTTCTGACCAACAGTTTCCCATATAATTTTCGCATCCTCGGCATTGTGCGCAGTGATTCTCTCCTCCGCCACCATAAAGAACATGTCCTCTGACCCATATTTCACGACTGACGCCTCCCGATCCAGACGACAGGAGAAGCTACGCCGCCCCCTCACCAGATTAACCATCGCCAGGCACGAATCCCGTCCGACAGTAAGGGCGAGCCGGCCGGACGGGTGCACTGCGAGGTCGCTGACGCCGCGGCGGTGCACGGGGACGGTTTTGAGGTGGACGAAGGGATCGGCGTCAAAGATACAGAGATTGCCGTCATCGGCGGCGCTAATGAGGTTGCGGGGAAGAGATTGAGCGAGCGAGGTAGTATAGAAAGCGAGGGCGGTCACAGCGCCAGAGTGATCAATAAGGGAACCAATCTCAGAGGAGGTTGCGAGGTCGTAGATCTTGATAGTGTCGTCGGCGCCACCAGATGCGGCTATAGGACCGGCGGCGGCGACGGACTTGATTGGGGCCGTGTGGGAAGGGTAGGAGAAGAGGGGTTTTAGGATTAGGGCTTCATCGGAGGAAGAAGAGCTTAGGGTTTTAAGGGAGAAGCCCCAAATAAACTTCTCGTAGGAGCCAGCCACCAGCGTCATCGCTCCAGAAAGCCAAGGGTTTGTGGTTGATAGTTTTATAGGTAAATCGGGGGAAAACAAATTAGCAAAAAGGTATTATCACCGATACTAAAATCAAAAGCATTTTAAATGCGATATAAGATAAATATAATATATTTAAATTTTATGGGATGAATTTATTATCTTTGATTGGAATTCATTAAAAAAATAATATATAAATAAAAAATTAAAAAAGATTAAATTATCACGGGCATGATGGGACAGAGACTCTGTAATGTGATTGAAGACGTAAAAGTAAAAAACTAGACTTGATAGAGGTAATTGCAATTGGAGGCAAGTTGTGATGAGGAGGCGATTGACGAATATGTGATGCGAGAGGAAGCGTGGTGTCGATGTCATGCTATAGATCTCGTTATTTCTTAAGGTGGCGCTTAGAGACAACCACAAATTTTCTATAAGTTTATATTTGGTCTAATGCGGCAATATGCTTTATAGATTTTATAGATCTTTAAGAAACTACTTAATATAGCACTCATTAGAAAAAATATATTTATCCTTGTATGCATAATTACAACATTCAACCAAGAAATAAGAAAATACAAAGTCTAACATCATCATAACCTAGGATGGCTAAAGATGCGTCTTTTACGACATTTGGTATGTGATAAATCATGTGAATGATCATCTGAGTAAAGTTTATTGCATTATTTTAAGTTCATGAGAGATTATGTAATTAATAATCATTGGTGATTTCTCTTTTAAGTCAATACTAACTAAATGAAATGATCATGCACTTTGACTCTTTTTTTTCAATATTTAACCATCCACCTTGGGTGGACCATGCTTACCTAAGGTTCCATGGGCCTTAATGATGTGATGACTTCACCCTCACACTAAAGCATCACATCCTAACTCCAAGGAGATGGATGAAGTGTTTTTTTATGATTTTGGTTCACTTAGTATGCTTAAGAGTTCTCAAATTTTATAATTTAATCGCTAGTTAAGGACCTGAGGATGAGCATAATTAGCTCTAGGGTAGGCCATGTCTCCTTAAGGGCTTAGGAACCTTAATAAAATGTACCCCTACCCTTAAGTGGTAATAAAATTAAGATGAACATAAAACGATCTATTAAGATATTGAAACTAGCTAGGCAATCAACTAATAACTATTGGATCTACTTTGGTCATTAGGGGTAGCCCAAAGTCTATGATTCTAGAATGTAATGAGAATCCCTCTACCACTTGGACTTTATTAGAAGAATCTATAGTGATTTACTAAATCACATAAGGTATATTTGGGAGGATTAAAACTAAGTATAGGGAGGCTTCTAGACAGCTTGATGATAGGTAAGAGAATATAAGACAAGTTACTAGTCACTAGTGATACCTCCAAATTTAATGTTTAGCTCAACTTGCTCTGACCCGATTTGAAAGAGGTAAATACTTGAATTTCTATATTATGAATTCTTGTGCATGTGACTGGTATGTGTTTGGAAGTGTTTTATGTGTATGAAAAATATATGCATATATTCTGAAGTGAGTTCAAGGGGTTTGAATGCATATTGTTGAAATCTAAATTTTTTCCCCTATAATGCCTAGGAGGTGGGTGTTCTAGCACCTTTGCACTGTAACAGTAGTGTCTTAACGTTGTGTTCTCTAATTTTCAAATTTTGAACTAGTGTCAAACAGTGGCGCCTAGGCAATGGGCCATTTTCTACACTTAAATTTTAAAATTCACTATTCCATTCATTTTATCGTTTTGGAAGGTGAGAAAGAGAGAGAGGAGAATTTTGGAGTGAAAAGGAAGGTATTTAAGCCGCTTTGGATAGTTTTTAACTGTCTGTGAAGTTCTGAAAGTTGTCACTAGATAGATTATACTATGTCTATCTCAGTTTTCAAAAACACGAAGTTTTTTCTAAATTTTTTAATTAAATTTATATTTTTGTTACTAAAAAAAGAGGATAATTTTGCATTAGTTAAACTTTCACCGCGTAACTTTTTATATGTTATAAAGATTGAAATTCTGAATATTTTGAATATTTTCTATAAATTTTATACCAAGTACTTTAAAAATTGTGCATTTTTAATTAACTAGAAAATAATCTTGAGTCATAAAAATTATGTTGTACTATGATTAGAGTCTTAAAATATTATTATACACAATCTCTAATAATTTGGTTATATTTTAGAAATGTAAATTTATGCTCAAGTATTGTGTTATACTGCCTATCGTTATAGCAAGTTGAAAAATTTTGCATTGAGTGTCTTTATGCATTAACGGTTACACTGAAAAGAAATATGTGTTATATTGATTAAATTGAATTTGGTATGAAAAATATCTATTGGTAGATATAAGGGGCCATAATCCTTTAAAATTTTGTTTGAGATCTAAAATTTGAATAAGAAAATATGTAAAATTCTGTCTGTTTGGAGTCATAACGAACCAGAATCTTAGATGTTGTCCGAAAGAGTGAGAATTATATTGTGAGACATAAGGGGCCAAAATCTTGAATTTTGTCTAAAAGAGGAGGAAATATGTTACATTTTGTTCTATGTAATAGAGTGCATATGAAATTCAATTTATTTAACTACTCATTATTATTAGTTAAATCTTTGGATAATTGCAATCATTTTATTATTCTACTCTGCAAAGTGAATTATTATAATGTATTTAATAATCTTAAAAAATGTTTAACAAAAGAAAGGTTTAGAAATTTAGATTCGTATTTATGGTTTGCTGAGTGTTTTAGCTCATTGTAATTTTGTATTCTATTTTTAGGGCCTCCAAAAGTGATGGATTCGGTTGAGTAACTATTCAAGATATGATATGAGTCTATATATGCATTATTCTTTGATTTTGTACAGTCATGACTAGCTTTGATTATGTTTTATTCTATTCTCTATTATGTAGTCACTATAGTGTAACTACTATATACATATTTTGTTGATGAAATAAAAGAGATTTTGTGGATTAGTTTGTTTTTAGTGTATTATACATTGTTAGTAGCTCTGTAGTTCATTATTTGTTTTAACATTTATATAGAAAGAAAAACTAAAAATAAAATAAAATAAAACTATATCTTAAAATTTGTTTGTCGCAAACCTCTAACATTAATAGGTCTTATCAGGTTGGATTGAGGCATCACCTAAACTCAACTAAGGTAAAACAAAGTCAAGTAGTAATCCACCAAGAATTTATCAAACCAGCTTTAGGTTATACTACAGGTATTTATTAGCTTAGTTATGTAATAACTCAAATATTTGAAATAAATTTATACATACATTTAATAGATAATTAAAATTTATACAGACCAATTGGGGGCTTCTGTAGCCTTCACCCTTATCTATAAATTACCTTCTAACTCCATTTTAATGGTTTGGAATCAAAAGAAGATGATTTGAGCTAAAATTATAAGATCTAGTATGATAGATTTTCAAGTGTTCAACATAAGATTCTTCTTTGTTCTAACTGAAGTTCTTTCACTCAATCTCTTGTTATTTGTATTTTAGATTGTTCTCTTATTATATACATAGAAATCAAGTTTGTAATAGAGAGTGTAATTTCTATTACTAAAAGTGATAGCCATTAGGCTCCTTTAAAGTGTTGAAAACACTTCGGTTTGGTTTCTATTGTTACCTTGGTTTAATATAAGCATCATATTATTTGTGTGAACAATTTTAGCTTTGTGTATACTTACTAGATTATCTTAGCTTAAGCAAATTAGTTGGTTCTTCTGCTAGTTTAAGTACTCAATCAAAATTATGATTTTGAAAACTGGCCCGAATCGACATGTTCAACTAGTTCAAATGTGAACCAGTTATAATGTTCTATGGTCGTCTTGGTCCGCCTTAATACTCGATATAGTATCAAACTGGTGTAAACCGATTTAAACTATCGGTTAAACTGGCCAAACTTAAAGTGATCAAGGTTTTTAAGAACTCACTTGTTCAATTAATATCCTATTTAAATAATTAAATAAATCATTTTAATTAAATATTAATTAATAAATTAATTTAAATATAATATATTTATATTTTACAATAAGCCTAAATTTATGTTATAATTATTTATCATCTAAGCACCAACACAACATACCCATATGGTCCCACCACCCCATGTGAACTCCTAACACAAAAACAAAACAAAAAAACTATATAAATATAACAAAACGAAGCTCCAAGTTATGTGGTACTAAATAACTTAGTTAAAATTTTCTACTTCAAAGATATATATATATATATATAAACATTTTTTAATTATT